CCAGGCTTCCCGGTTCCTTGGCCAGGACTGCAGGAGTATCTGCTGGGAATTTATAGCTCTGTTTGTTGTTGGTGGTCTGCCTGGCTTTGGATGTGCATGAAACACTYTCTGGTATTCGCTGGCGTTCAATCATGCATCTTCACTCAGAAAATCATCGCTAATGGCTTGGGAGTTGGTTTGAGACAGTACACATGTTAAAACGCTTGTGTTGAAGCTGATTTAAGTCTCACCTTCACTGTTTCACCTCACTTTGAACTTTACCTTTGTTCAAGCATTCAAGATGTTTATGAGATGCAGCCATTTCAACCGATTAGAGACAACAGGAGAAATGCAGAGCTAAATTGTTCAGAGGTTCTCAAACTTTTCATATCGAGTACCTGACTCTCATAAACCATCATTATGACAGAAACAATGTTTAAGTTTGAACTGAAATGTCTCAAACGAGTAACAGACATAAGCAAAAGGTCTAATCTATTTAACTCTTTAGCTCTAACCTTCAAACTAAACCAGATTTTTATATCCTAATATGAATCCTTCAACAAACTGAGGGACACGCTCTGATCCTCCTCAGATGGGCCTTCCTCAGGTCAGAGTGTCTTAAAGTCAAAGCATGTGATAAACTYACTAACTTTCCCATTTTTACTCCTGGGATTAGTAAGAGTCAGACTCTTGGTTGACATGTGCCAGCCTGTGCCTTTCTTTGACTCCATCAAACAGTTTTGGGCTCGTTTAAAGGTAATGAAGGAAACACTCAGCGCTGACTGAAAGCTGCAGTTTAGTACACTGCAGCCCTGCCTCTACTTTTGCTCCACAACTAAATATAAATGCAATATGACTTCAATCCCTTGTTCTTGTTGTTTTGTACCTTTTGTTGCTACCCAGTAGGGGTGCACCAAAAAAAAATCGTTTTAAATCGGAATTGTGATTCTCATTTACAAAGATTGAGAATTGATTTAAAATGTCCCAATATGAATATAAAGAAAATCCAAACGTTGTAAACCTCCATTTTGTAACCACTTGGGATGTCCTGACGTCACATGGAGCTGGTTCTGGAATGTATGCATGTGCAGAAAGCCCCAAAACAAAGAGGAAATTACAAAACTGGAGGAAAGAGAGATTCAACTGACCCCGTCTTCATTGAATGCAAAGATTTGGGCTCATTTTGTTTTTCCCTGAATGAGACTGAGTTTGACATGAGCTTCACTGTGTGCAAAATAACAAAATGAAGATGAAGCACTTTAGAATCACGACAAATGGGCTCACATTGAGTTTTGAATGAAAAAAAAATCGATTCTGAATCGAATCGTGACCCCAAAAAAACTGAATCGAATTGAATCGTGTGATAGTAAAAGATTCCCACCCTTACTACCCAGGCCCTGCAGAAATGTCACCAGCGCTGTTTATATATCCACAAGGTCATCGGTTAATCATGAGGTCCAGTTCTCACAGAGGTTGTCAAAATAATCTCTGCTGCACCTTTTTTTTTATTTATTTTTTAAGTAATTTCCATTTGGAGCCAAGTTCATACAGTAGTTTGACTAATTTTTATTTATTTATTTATTGCTAACTCTGCTTTTTCAGTTTTATATCTCAGCTTCTGGCAGGTTAGCAGCTTGTTATTAAACTTGTAAATGGAAACCAGAATGTCCTCTGAGTACCACTGAGAGGATTCTGAGCTCCACCACTGGGACTTTTACRGTTTGAGAAGCATGAATGTAGATAAAACTCAGACTCTCAGAAGTGGTGCTCCTCAGTTTGAACATCCCTTGATGGATGTGTATAGAGATGATGCATTATGCTTTGAGTTTGTTTCGCTGACATCGGCAGTGGGAGAGAATGAGCTGAGTTAGACTGTRACAAATCCTGAAAGTGTAAAAACAAGAAGACGGGGAGCCCAAATATAGCMTTCTAATAAACAATGTTTACCTGAAGCTCCCAATTTGTCACAATAATTATTATGATTCTCTGAAAAAACTAAAAACGTCTGCAGCATTGACAGAACTAGATTTTTGTGGGGAAAAAATGGAGCAAATTGCCCCAAAATGAAATACAAAGACTCTTAAAACAAAACAAAAACAAGGGGACTTTGAGCCCCGCCTGCATTCACTACATACACATGACACGACACCTAAGAACCACAGCATCCAAACCAGTAAGTCAGGTGATTGGGCACACCCTATATGAACAATAGAGCTAATCAAGCCTATTGTTAAGCGATGGCCCTCTTTTGCATGTGACTGACCTGTTTGTCCACCACGTGGAGGCAGTGCTTATAAGACTGAGTTCACCTGAAACTCATCAGACTGAAGAAGTCTCTTGGAGGAGAGACGAAATGTTTCACTAAAGAAGAACCCATCCAGAGGACCTACTTATTTTTGATTTTTGATTTTAACAAAGACACTGAGCTGCAGACTTTTAAAGTCCTGGTTGATAAACTTAAAGTTTGCATTTATTTATTTTATAAGCAACAAAAGAAAGCAACTTAAACAATATGACACACTATACCATCCCTTTAAATCAGGGGCCCGTGTGTTGGAAGGTAAAAAGCACCAAATGCTAACACCACTGATGTGGCTCTTTTAGTCCTCATGCCTTAAAGTTGTGTTTATGTCCAGAAAAATGGTGAAAGATTACCAGAGCATATTAAAAAAGGGTTTTTTAATATCATATAGGTGCAGAGATAGAAGAAAACAAGTTGTTGTGTTTCTTTACAGCAGCTGGATTTCAGGTAAATCTGCTGCAGATATTGATWTCCAAAGAGTTTAAGCCCAAATATTTCCAACTTTTGTCTTCCAGAAAGTAAAAAGGAGCCAAAGCTGATTTCAGTAAAAAGTTCTGAATTAGGAAATAATAATTAACAGTTTGAGAATCTTAYCAGTAAAAGTCCACAACATCCATTWTAGTTCACATTCATACAAAGCAGAGCTTAAATCAAGTATGGCAGCTCTGTTAGAAATTTAGCCGGTCATAATTGAGTCCTTGCTGTGTCATAAAATGACTTAATCAATACCAGAGTGAAACTTTAATATACTTCACTGCGAAGAGCCCCTCCAGGGACAATAATGATTTTTTGATTGTGACTGCAAAGTAAAACTTCCTCTGACTTTTTCTCTATTGTCAAGAACCCATTAAAACTCACTAAAACTCCACTTGACAAAAGCACAAAATGAATGTTTCAGTGTGTGCAGGTGAATCAAACCAGCATGCAGGTTTGTGAGCTGTACATATTTTCAAATGGCACACAGGACTGTAGAAGAACAGTGGCTGTCTATAGTTTTAGCTGTTCACACTGTCAGCCTGGCTTAACAGAGGTTTTACAGTGATCTGGGAGGGTGACCCGTTCCAAATTTGGAGCATTTCACTGAAGGCCTCGGCTATGGGAGAAACGATTTATATCGCCWACGTCTCCTACCTTTTCAAAAATCAAATATTTACTCATGTTGCTCTTCARATATTGTTCTGAATTATTTCTGCCACGCATTATAGATGTGTAAAAAAAAACAACTTTTGAAAAGAGTCAACGTTTTTAGAAACGTGTTGAATGACAAGACAGAAACCATAGAGGGACGAATGGGTGATGCATTAGTGGGGGTGTKGGGAGGCAGGCTGGGGGGAATCCTTGGTTAATGGTTCATAAAGATGGGGTCGGGGCCCCAGTGTGGGTCATGAAACACCAAGTGGGGGGGTCATGAGAAATTTATCAACAACCATATAAAGTAAAAAAAATTTTTTTTTTTAATGAATATGTGAATACAGGGAAAAA